CCATTTAAAACATTTTCAACATCTTCGGCTGGACCGCCATTGCTTGGCCACTGTGGCTTTGTTGCTAGGTTTTTCAATTTTCCGTTTATTCAGTTGTCCTCTAGCTGTACACTTAGAGCAGTGTTACAACCCCAATGTCTGCAACGCCGAATGCACTACATCCTGTTGCTCACGGTAGTGTACCGGGATCCTGAATAATTGCGGTTTTCTCAATATACCGATATATTTTTTGTACTAGTACTAGAGACAAAGCCATCCAGACTTATTCTGCTTCTGGGATCGTTGACTACATGTCCCTTTACTTTTGGCTGTAGAAGCTTACGATGTTCGACTTCTTAAACACAATGGACCCCTGTGGCACCAGTTGCAGAGCCTTAATAATGGCTTCGTTCGTGTTTTCAAGGAGACCCGATGGGAATCTCCCTGCACGCTTCTATTAATACCACCTGCCTGTTCAACTAATGTATGCAGCCGTACCTGTATCACCTCAAGTAAGCTACCATACTCAGATTATCGACAATCCATACCAACTCGATCTCGCGAACTTCGGCGAAGTACCTATAAGTATCGAGATCAAAGCACGAACATTGGCCAAAACGAAAATTAGCTTGGCCTTCTAAAGGCGTTAATCATCCTTCCCCTACATGATAAAATAAAAATGAGTGGTTTCCTTGCGAAGAATACCGTTAACTAAGTAAAATACATATAAGCTTTAGGCAACTGAAAGGTTAACTTAGTAGCGTACGATAATAGCTACTGCAAATGGACTACAGTAGTAACATTGAAAAGACAATATTGCACAATTATATATGCGGCATAGTGTATTCATCCTAATACATAAGTCAAATGCATGGGCAACATTTGCACAGTCTTAAGGTGTATCACTTGCATCTGCTGCTCGTTGAAAGTATAGTACGATGCCTCATCTAGCTAAAATTGCCTCGGAATATTTAAAGTCCTGTTTATAATTCCACGGCCAAAAACATTGAGCTGCATGATACGCGCAGCATAGCAGTATACTTTAAAAATTCTACTAAGTATAGCAACTGTGCCCTTTTAACCAATCTAACTGTAAATCTGTCAAAACAAGTTGTTCTAACTACTAAAGTAGAAGTAAGGATAAGAAAGAGATAGAGCATACATTGTCCATTTAAGCCCCCATGCGTACAATAAGGTCGCGGTTCTTAACGGTTACATGGACTCCCCGCCTGTCGCTTAGGTGAAACGGTACTCATCAAGAAAGATGCATCACCTGCATTTGGGGAAAAAGATGTATTATGGCAAGCCTCCCCACAACCTCAGGTAAGACCAAGATATTATAATGTGTTTTAGTGGCACACTATGGCATAGTCAATGCAACGCTTCATCTACGGTGTAATTCGTAGCCCGAACCATGTACTTACCTGCTTTCTTGACGCGTAGGAACACGTTTCGCAGGACAAGATCACCTAGACCATAATCTTTGTGCGAGTTCGGTGAATTTGCCCCTAGTTAGATAGTTATTTGGACTTAATAGTTCTTGCAGTTATTAGCCCAAAACTGTATCAATGTTAACTCAGTAAGTGTGAACTGGAATGGTCTAAGAAGTCTAACTAACTAACGTAGACACTATTGTAGTTAAGTTGCAGTCTTTAAAGAATTACCAGCCCGACGTTTTAAATACAATGATCGATTTCGTGGTTTGACCAACTACTGCAGTCTATGATATCTAAGACAAGGTAGGTAGCGCAGGTTCTTCTTTGCTGGCTCGTGTCCACAAGGTTCCTATACATCACCCTCGCGAATGCAACCAACGGACCCTTCAGGGCCATCCTACAGAGTATCACAAGGCCTTTACGGATGGAAGACCGATAGCTAATCTAACATGCGTTACCACATTAGATCTACCGCATCTCTACACACATAGATGGACTGGATTTGCATAGCGTGAAACCAGGAAACTCTAGGAAACTATTTACATCGAGCAGCTGAAACAAAAGGTTTTTTAAGTATACACTATGTATATATCAGTAGGTATGCTATATATTTACGACAGGTACAATTATGTATCTTAACCGACCGAATTTACCCCATATCGCGTGCTGTCAGGGCTAATGTCTGAAGTAAGTATATGGTTAAAATTTGACACATAAGAGTGAACAACTACTCGGTCATAGTTTGAGTGGTAACAGTTAGTAGTTAAGAGTATAATGATAGTGCGATGTAGACCTCAAGGCTCGCACTGTCACAGTAGACGTACTTAAATTTGACAAAGTCCCGACCTCCTTTAACGATGTCCTACCTGTAACCGTCCTCGTTGTGGGTCTAACACAACATGTCGCGTCACCAATGTGGATACTACGGGGCCCGTCCTCGCACATGTACGACCTCGTGGTCGCTCCTCAACTAAACGATGAATGTACCTTAGTGACTTTCCAACCCCGTGGGTCAAGGAATCATTGTGGGCTTTCCTTTCTCTGGACAAGATGGCTCACGCGGCATCACTAGGGCGTACCTAACCGAACCTATTGGGACACATCCAACCCGTCTCCAAATGGCCGCAAGTGCTATGAACTAGAGTACTCTCCAGAAGATGGATATCCATAGGGCTTGGAACGTCGTTCGCTCCAAAGTAAAATCCAATAGCGATGAAGTCTTACCAACCGTTGTTGGCCAACCCATTTCTAATGGCCAACCTTGAACTGATGGAGAACAGAGAACCTATTTAGAAGAGGAAAACTGGGGAAAGAATTCAAGTTCGCTAGGTCAGCGTCTGAGGCTTGTGACCACCATATTCAAGAATTTGTGTACACTAAAACAGCGCTGGACGCGGAAATAGTATAAGCAGCGCAATGCTGAGCAACCCAGTAGCAACAGGAAAAGCAATTCTCATACTTGAAAAGTAATACTAAGGCGGGTTGCTGTATATTTGCCTTGAATACGCAAGATGGTGAATATGTCTTTAATGACATTGAAGCGAAAGCTAGTCTTCTTGTGCCATAGTACTAATGACTGTCTTAGCCTGCTACCACGGTATTCAGTGGTATGTATCCACTCATTCCACTTCCTTAGAGCACATCGGGAATACCACGAATATGGTGCGGATAATACCTCTTGTATAGGATCCGAGCTCCTCACCAGGCCAAGAGGATTTAGGTCCATTTTTCCTGCAGATAGTGACTGATAATGTCGCCGGGTCAAGCGGCCGATTGTTTCGGAAATCCCAGTGCCAAGCCGCCTCCCGTTGAGTAGAAAGTACATATTGTGGTCCATCCACATACGAGGAAACCGAGCGGATGCTAAAGACCGATCTGCCTGATGTCAAGCAATTGTAAGACAACTAAAAGGATTTTTAATAGTGCCCATCAGCCTCACCTCCAAGCTCTGGACACCATCACTTCTGCTCAGCACGGCTTTCAGTGGGTGAGTTCTTGTGCTAGTATTCTACCAGTTGTTTGCGGGGATTCGGCAAACTCGGTGAATTCCGGTGTTGTTTTGTTGTTTTCAACAAAACATTGGATATCGTTCCACAAGCACGGAACCTTAGCGAGCTCTCGAAGGAAGGCCCCGCATGCAATATTCTCTCCTGAAATGCCACTTTCCTGGATGGACCTGCCATGAGTGCGGGGTTAATGTGGTTCTCTACGCCAGTTCCCATTAGTAGTGGATTTCCACGGTGCTCCCTTCTTTGACCGGAAATAGCAAAGCCTTCTTCGTCAACCATTCATTGCCGCTTCAAACTTATTGGTCGTTCTACGCCGATGGTTTCAAAGTCAGAGGTATTTAGGGTTGAAGACACAGGCAATTTGCAACTGACTCCGATTGGCCGCACGATTGGACTGTCAAGTGATAAGAAGTTATACGCTGCGATAAATGCTGTGTTCTGCTGATCGATTCACCAGCACTTTTCGGAGCCTAGCACAGTGTTGATTGTACTTTAACCTTGCGGCCTCTGAGAAGGACCTGGTTATGCTTGCATCGACAAACTAGAAAACAACCCCGTACACGTTGCGAAAAATAGCCTCTGCCAACAGAGTATCCTTCGCCATACGAAGGTTATGCCGAAAAATGAAGCGCTCGATATTCTGGATCGATTTTCCTTCCCACTTCCGCCAATACTAGAATATGGATAACCTGCCATAAACATTAGCACAGGTTTGAGTGCGCTTCATTCGAGAAACTTCAGGGATGTGGACCCAGGTCTGAAGCAAGGTTGCGTACTTTACAATATCCATCTCGACCTGACCTTTTGAACTTGTTCGCTACGAACTATCGCCGTCGACGTAATGAGCTGATACATATCAGATGCATTGCAAAAGTATGATTGGAGATGCGGTGTAACAATTCGTCGAACTCAATGTGGACAACTTGACAAGGAGTGATATTAGAAAATAGGTTCAACCGCGGACGGTCCACATATGATGCGGCTTCACATAATTCACCCGGGTCGCGAATGAATGGAACAACCTACCTGACTTTGTTGTCAGTGCTCGTACCTTTGAATGTTTCAAAGCGTGGTTAGATGACTTCTTGCTGAGAAAGCGTGCATTCCTCTGTTTTTCCTGCGGCTGTCATCATTCTTCAGTTTCGCAACGACACGCACCATCCGGGCAATGCGTGGGAAGTGGTGGAGCTGGCACAGCTTGGTTCCTGCTGCTCTCTACAACACTGTGAAACCAACTGGTGTAGGTACATTGTACGAACTTACGACATCCCAGGTGTCGCTTGCCTCGTGAACGTTCCACTTACATTTGAAAAAATGCTACCTATCATCGTCAAATGCTGAAAAATATACTGACCAGTTTCTCTGCATGCCTCCTGTGGATTCGTGCTGCGGTACTTATTCTTTTTGACCACTCACGGGAAGTGGATTGAATAACGTTTCAGTCACACCGCGTAGTATAAAAACTACATTATTATTATTTATAAGAAGTTAGGAAGTCTCGTGACATCAAGCACGTTAATTCGGTTTTAGGACCTATTTCCCTTCTCCAAATCTGCTTTTTTAAGCTTCCTCAGGCGGCGCTTTGAAATTCATACATTTTTTCGCGAATGGTGACACTTAGTAAACATGGCGTTGGGAAGCTTCAACCCACTCAAAAACAGTACTCCCTCACTTTGTCTATATTTTCTTATGTTTTTTAGGTTAAAGACTTCAAAACTGAGATTGTGGCACTTGGTAATTATAAGATTTAATTTCCCCGTTATTTACTCGGCAGTTTAGTTATTCTGATTGGAAAGACAAGCTCTCTATAATATGTGGAATATTTTTTGCCGCTGCTGGCGGTACAGGATTTCCACTGAATGTTTATATTTTCCGTGGCATTATCAACAACTTTGTTTCACCTGACTTTGATGCTGAGATGATATACTCTCAGGTCAAGTGGTTCGTCATTTTGGGAGCCATAATATTCATAGTAACGTTTGCACACTCAGTCTTGTTTGGCATTTCGTCTACGCGACAGTCACGAAGGATTCGCTTATTGTATTTTAAGGTTAGTGAAATCAGTTTGCTTTATTAATTATTTCAACAACTTACAAGAAAGCGCCGTTCACATAAACGAACCTGTCATCTAGCAAGGTTACTTGTAGTACCATTCTAGACATAACGTAAAACAACTCATGTACATTGATTCCAGCGAACTCGTGTTTTGGCGTATTGCATAGCTTAATCAACTAAGGCTTGTTGATCAATTTAGCGCATGAAGAGTGTCTGTCCACTATTTGGCCTTCACGAATATCTCTGGTAAACTGTCACCAACACTTATCACTCTAAGTTCATAGCAAAGAGATTGGAATCCGCGCCTTCTATCCAGCACTCCAAGATTGTACACGTGTTCGTGTGTGCAACATTGTGTTCGCAAATGAAATGGCGGCCTCAAAATAAGAAGTCACCGAGACCTTATATATAGTAGATCACGATAAAATTGATTATATAATGACGGTGGAAAAAGGTGCAGCGCCCTAGCTTTTTGCACTGGTCTCCATATGTCATTCTGTATAAACTCTGAATATGCGTGGCAGCGACGTGTTGGACCCGTTCAATTGTTGCGTCTGGCCTAGAATGGTAATGCAAGAGGCGAGTTAGCCATACTCTAGCATTTGACTTGTAACTTAGAATAAGAGGCTATTGGCCACCTCTCCAGACCCGGTGCAGGAATTGCGCTTAAGCATCCGAAACACGTGCAGACCGATTAGGTATAAATTATTGTCCAGAACCATCAATTCAGTGTTATGACACACCCAGATCATTCAGGGAAGACACGAGCTGTAAATATTGGTCAACCATATCATAGGGTTCGTTATCAGCACCATAATTTAGGCTCATGGATGGCAAATTGAATGGGTTGATCAAGAGGCGGACTACTACAGACCACACGGAGGGGCGGTTGAGGTCTTGCTGAAGTTAATAGCAGTCATCGAGTATGGTGATCACTCCCAAATCTTCAGGTCTTCGGCAAACAGAATACACGGCAAACAAAGAAGCTGAGGTAGCTAGTTGCTATAAATCAAATACAACGTAGGCTCTAGAACCGTGTCTTGTGGTACGCCACCAGTCGTTAGATACCAAACGGTCAGGTGCATATTGACTTGTACCCTATATTTTTGTTCACCGAGAAACTCGCAAATCTACTAGTACAGTTGGCCGCCAACGCCGCATACTTTTGCTGTAAAGCAGGACACCATGGTTTACCTTGTCGAGCGCTTTGCTGAATGCGATGTATATCACGTCAACAAACGTCCTCTGGTTCACTGCTTGAAGTCGTTCATATTTCGTTACCAGCAAATTGGCGGTTTTTGGAAGACCTAGTGTAAGCCCTCGCTGTGCGCGCGTCAGTAGGTAACTTGACTGGAACAGCTATAAAAAACTCTTCTTCATAAATCTTTATGATAACCTTGGTCAAGCTAAATGTCACACCAACTTGATCGTAGTTGTTGCTGGGGTCACTACATTTCAAAGTGGGTTTCACTACTAAAAGATTAAAGTGGCTTGGCGATAGACTTATAGCGGAATCTCTTTGAGTAAGTTAGCCACTGCAGTTCAGCTGATCACGGTTGGGAATTAAGAAGCATTATGTGGAATCTGTGACACTTAGCATGTTTGGTGAGTACGTGATGTACCTCTTCAACATCACAATACAGAATCTCCCGTCTGGTAAGCGAGATACAAGCATTACTCGGTACAAGGGTCTGGTCATTTACAACTAAAGAAGCAACGTGTGCCACTAGCACAAACGCACGCTAAGTGCTGGAGGCTAGGTGCAAGTTAGCTGACATTGAAATATCACTTACGCTCTTCAGGCGCCACTTCAAGTAAACTAAGATTCTGTTTGGAGCGGCTTTTGCGGCGATTGCGGGCTGCTTTTTAGAATGCCAGCGCTTGCTCATTTTTTCATGGTTGCAAACATTCATTGGTGATTATGCACTTCATTGTTGCTGGATAAGTCAAGGAATAGCAATGTATCACCCAGCCTGTGCCAATTACCGTGTCGTTTCCGCGTAACCCTTGTGGACCAAAATGGTTTGGTCGGTCTAGCTTATCAAGGCCACAGTTCTACAAACTAACACCATAGAAATAACACTTCTAATTCCTTAACAGTTTAACAGACTTGCGTACATGATACTTGAGACAGAGTCCAAGCTATTTGCCGTGCGGCTCAAGTTTGACCGTCAACTTTAGTTTTCTAGTATTTTTACTCTGAATCCAGCGCGCGTGAATGAGATAAATGTATATCCATGCTTATTTTGTGCATTGGATAGTCAGTTGTTACCATAAGCTCAAAGACCCGAACGTCTTGTATAAGTTATCTCTAGTTTGTGGCTATCAGGCCTATACAGGACGTAGTTGAGCTGCACGTTATACGTGTCGGCTGGCACAAGTGATGTACCTTTTCCACTTTCAAGTACCTTGTCACGTACTTTGTTTCGACCGCATAATATTCTGGCAGGAGTCGGAGGTTACGCTAACGTAAATAAGGACAAACAAAATCATTCAGGAATTACAAACAGGGATCATTAGTGTAGTCCCGAATACGTGCCAGCCAACCCAAACAAGGGCCAGGCGACTGCCATAAAATGCGCCCATGAGTAGCTCACCGCGCCTGAATAAGATCTGGTAACACAACAGTTTACCAATGTTACTGCCAATTTTGGAGATGCTCATATGTCTACTACACAGAGAAGACCAGATGTAAAGCAATACTCCGCCAACGGCAGCCAAAATTTCGTTGCAGCTAAGGCACGAATATGTAATGAGCTCGGTTTCCTGAGTGAAAACCAATCAAATCTGCCAATTAAGCAAGACAGTGTTTTTGAACAGGTTCCAGCCAGTATCCATATGGTTTGCCGTTGCTTTATCTGGTAAAACAGGGTATGTGCTAACTGATGCTTGCTTTCGAGGCATGAGGAGAAATCAGTTTCACCTATTTTATGTTGCAGACTACAACCATGGAATTTATGCTCGTTTTCCCTAGTCAATCTGCTGCGTTGTGTCAATCGCTGTTTAATTCAACAATTGCACAGATTTTCTTAATTTACAGTGGTGGTCGAGGGAAAATCCACCAGTTGTGTGTGATGTACCTATTTTGCGTCCACGCTACCTACAAGCAGTTCAAAGAACAAGAAGTGTCGTAGTTTGCTTCAACCCACTACAGTTAGACTTCAATCTAATTAATTGCTTCAAGTAAGGTGATACAAAGAGGGAGGTTGAACGATACCAGTCAAAAAACACTGTTATGCAAGACAGGTTTTGTAATTACCTGCTTTCATCAGGTAGAGGTAGCAAGCCAGTACTTGAACTCAGGGGCGTTTTAAATGTCAAACAAAACTCTACTCCTTAGTCACATACTTGCAGCCGGCGACAACTGTCATAACAATTAGTACCTGATTGCATGGGTCGTTTTGAACTACTCGCTGGATGAAGGGATTCACAATGTCGTACACCTTAATCAAACTACAGTCATCCCTGGGCTCGCAAACCACAGTAAAGTTTGCACAAATCAAACTCACAGTTTATTGGATGTTAGACCGTTTTTATTATTGGCTTGTTTGTTTTTATTTTGAGCCACAATTTACTAACAAGGTGTTTTAGTGATGTGAGTTAGCAAGTTAGGTTAATAAACCATTTTGTTATTAGTGTAGGCAGCTACTGTTTCACGTTTCTGTCTTGTCTTAGTTGGAGTACTTCTCCGTTTTGGCCCCTACCGCGGCAGGTTATCATGGCTCTTTGTTTTCTCTTGGTACGAGCTAAGGATTTTTGCGTTAACTTAAAGCCAGCGGGTAGCCTGGTATATTATTTGTAAAACCATCTGCATTGGAGCCAAAGTTAATATTCAAATGTTTTTCACAGCTTAAAAGCAAGGGCTCAGAAAGCAAGTATGGCTTGACTAGTTATAAAAATGCAACGGGAACCAAACGTTTCAATTTTTGAGCGTTCTGCAGTTTGTACCTTGCTACGATCTGTTGATTAGAGCGACTGCTGATTAATTGCGCTTTATGTAATCATTCTCTAGGTTTTGTTCGATGTAGGGTAAGTTGTGCAGTCAACTCGTGGAAAAAGAAACATTGGGACACATTTGAGATAGGCACAAAGGATCAGAGGACCGGTGTAGTTCTAAATCTGCTTGTCAGGCCACGGCCTCGGGCGTGGGAGAGCTACGTAGACCTGCGGTATTTAGAAACAAACTGGGGTGCGTGATGACCAGTTTCAAGTAAATGAACGGTTTGACCACTGGTGTGGATCCTAACTGAACTCAACTGCCGTTGTATTTAAAACATTTTCACTAGTATTTGCTTATGCAGGCTTTGGTAGAAGCTTAGCTTGAGGTCTCGAAAAGTGGACAGAGGTAGAGTAGTTTTCATGTTGGCAACAAGTAGTTCACTGTATCTAGCTACAGCAAAACTCGTAGGAGTTTTCTTAGCTAGAGGCACGGAATGATTCAGCATAACGCACTTGCGCGACGCAGACCGGCCGGAGTGTCATGCAGTAAGCATTGCTAAATCCATTGAAGGAGAAGCAACATGCAGTAAAAGATTTCACACTGGTCAGCAAATAATGCAATGAAATAGGGAGTTAATTAGCATTTTACACAAGCTAATTGAACCGAGATTTCTCAAGGCACCTCCAAACTAGTGTTAAAAGCGTCAGTGAATTTGTCGGACTGCTTTAAGACTACAGGTGTTGTGGTGATAAAATAAATTTGTGCTTGTTTCCACAGTAAAAGAGCAAACTTTGTGAAATGGCGGGATGTGGTAAAACTGCAAGGAAGATCTCCGCTTATTAGCACTCATTAGATCACAGACATTTGAATAGAGCCAGCCTACTCACTAAAATGCGCAATTTAGTCAGACAAATGAATTCCAACTTGAGTAGTGAAACGGAAATAGTGTGATCGTGCGTCAATGTCTACCACAGCGGTAGTACGAACACTACAACGAATCCAGACCTTTCAACTTGAATGAAAGCTTTTATCCTTAGTCCAAAAGTTGATTTGAT